TCAGTCATTAATGTCAATATCATGGAATGTGATATATACATGTCTTATTTTACTTTAATTTAAAATTAAACTAATCAAATAATTGATAATCATTTACGTGGAGAAAATTGTGGAAGAAGAAGAAATTATATTTAAAGCACAGAAAGAGGGGAAAAGAGGATTTTGTTTTGGAGAATTTTTTTATACAAAATGGTGGGACCTAGTATAGCAAACTTACGGAGAGTTTGTCTTTTAAAGAAAATAACTGAAAGGGAGTTTATTTGATATAATTACCATCCTTAGTTTGCCATTCTCCACAATTTTCCCTTTAATTAATTAAGTTTAACTTTATTATTTTCTCAAGCCCAATACTTTAGCCCAAATATAACAATCTCAAATTCAGGTCCGTAAAAATCCATTTTAATCTTTTACCTGTTGTAGTTCACATAAAATAATCGCACTTTCTCTTAAATGAATCACTTTGTTCATGTAATGATAACTCTAATATTGTTTAATTGCTTGACTGAACCGACATTAGCTTTTCTGTAGATTGTTCATGTACTTGTTGTGTCTATCGAAATACGTACGTTCTCAAAAAAATTATTACTTTCAAACCCAATAAACCAGAAAAACTGAACTAAACCGATTCCAACCGACTATAACCAAATCGATGTTCATTTTTTATCATTTGGTTTTAAAAATTTAAAAAACCAATCAAATTAATTTGATTATAATTTTAATCAATACCGATCCAAACTGAACCACGAACACCCCGGACTCACTCATATAATTTCTACCATTATTTTTTAATATACTTTTAAACGTCCGTACAATTCTAAATTTGCACATGGGACATTTTTTTTATTAATACATCTTAAAATAATAAGATTGATTTCAAAGACCTCCAAGGAGTTTGCTTTTTATACACTATGATTTTTAAATTCTATATTAATTAATCATCGTTATCTTTGAGTCATCAACCACTTTTTTATTGCATGAATTTATCCGTTTGTACTTTAATTATTTTAAAAATCAAGACAATATCTAACAAAAAAAAACCCGGCATAAATATAAATTAAACTAATATAATGGAATCCAACAACAGCTAAAATGTGTGGCGGCTATATTTCATTATTTAGACGAAAAAGTATATTATAATTTAATCAATTTTGTTTCTTCAATCATTATATTATATTCCGTCATGTTTAAAATGACAAAAAATTAAGCGTAATCATTGAACAACATGTGAATATTTTTACTATCTCTTGTTAGTCCCGAGAGACAAAAAAGGCTAAATTAACCAAAACAAAATAGTTATCGATTCAAGAACGTAAGCTGACTTTATATTGTAAATGAAAAGATATTATTTCTCGACCAAAATAATAACAATTAATAAATTGTGATAAGTCCAATTTGTGTTCACAAATTAGAACGTGTAGCTAGGAATCATGGTACAATTTCCCACACATGGTAAGATTTTATTCTAGTGATCAATTTGGTCACTTCATTTTGAGGGATATAAAGAGGACACTTGGTGTCCATATCCATATTTGAGGACAAAATATTCATTGTTTTTTTCTCATTCCTTATTTGTTTAACTAGTGGAATTAATTATATTTTTATGCCAAAAATGTATTAGACATTTAGAAGTGTCATTTTAAAATTGTACAATGTCATTTATTATGAAACGTGTTATTTGCCAAATGTTGTTGAAATGAATTTGAAGTTTTTGTCCATTTAGTTCAAATTAAATGAATCTCATATATATATATATATATATATAGGACCACCAATCTTGTTCTTGCAAAGGACAAAGTCACATAGATGGTTATGGCAAAATGAATTAATTAACCCTTTAGCCACGTGTTCTATGGATATTTGCCCGTCCCCCACAAGTAGAAGTAGAGGTGGCAAATGAACGGGTTGGGTCAAACCTGGGCGGGTTGAAAATGGGTAAATATAAAATGGATAATCATTCAACCTGTTCATATTTGATATGGACAAAATGGGTTGGATAATAAATGGGTCGGATAACTTACCAGTTTACTCATATTTTGATGAATAAATAGTGTACTTTACTTAAAAATTCAATATGGACAAGATATGTTAGTCTTTTTTCTTTTTATGAAAATGTTAAACACGTTTCATTTAGTTTTATTATATTATAAAAATAAAAATAAAATCCTATAACTTTACAATACAAAGTAAATTTATGTAATAACAAGATGAAAATATTTTTAATTTCAAAGTAAATGAATATTTGAATTTTAGAACTAAAACATGCTTATTGCACTTTAAGCAATGTCAATACTAATACATGATTTGCGTTTTTTATGCAATTATTGATTATCCAATATAAATAAAATAAACAAATAAAATGTAATTATAATTAACAAAAGAAATTTACATTTAAATTATATATTTTTGGAGGGTCAAAGACTTCCCTTTTCAATTAGAGAGAAAAATATGTAGTTCTATAAAATAACATAAAAAGGAAGAGAAGTTACACTATTTTTAGTGATATCATGAATTTTGAGTGAATAAAAGTTAGAAGTTTAATTCATTTGACTAATTCATATTTTACCCATATTTTAATAGGTCAAATATGGGTATCGACCCATATTTTACCCATGTGAAAAATCACTCACCCAATCAATTAAAATATAGACGGTTTGGGTGGGTCACCAAAATATGAGCTTATTTTGCCGGCACTCAGTAGAAGCAAGCTAGTCCTTTATTTTGGAGAGTTAAAGAAAAAAGAGTACATTTTCGTCGTGAAAGATTTAATTTATCTACAGAAGTTTCGTGGTTTAATAGAATAGTCACTTTCAAAAATAGACTACACACACAAACCTAATATCATTTGATAAAAGAAATTGGTGGAACTTTATGGTGTTAATCAATTATACTATTTTAAAACAACGATATATTTAGTGAAATTTGAAGAAAATAAAGTGTAAGCAGACATTATCAATATCTCGTGAAGTTAGAGAGTGTTTTTCCTTAGTTCAAGTGTCGAAAATCCATGTATAAAAATATAGTGGAGGCAACTAACAAGGGAAGGAATGCAAAAACATACTAGAAAGGAACAAAACCAACAAAAAAATAAAGTAGTGTGATAATCAAAATATAATAAACAACATACAATGATAGATATTAAAAGCTAGAATAAGATTAATACGGCTAGTACAACATTATAGTAAGAAAATATAGAGTTCTCCATTTTTTAGATAACTAACTCTACGGCATCTTGAATTGGTGCATCAAGATCACGTTCATTCTCCATTATTATTTTGTGTAGTATATTACATGTAGTCATTATATCATATAGCATTTTAATTTCTTTCTAAAAAAACGTGATGATCCTGTAATAATTGCAAAACTCCGAATGCACGATCAATATCTTTTTGGCACGTAGCTTGTTTCAGCGCGAAATATTTCTTCTTTTGGAAACATGGATCACGAATAGTTTGAACAATTGTAGACCATTTAATCTTGTGCATTCTTTATAGTGAAAATTCATAAAATTATATTAAAGTAACGAAAATTGATAAAATTAAAATTATTAGTATTGAATGAAAATATTATATATTAAATAATATATTTTAAAGTATTATATTACATTTAAAAGGAATCACGAATATTAGAAATTTAATTAGTGACCTTATATGAAAAATAATATGATAAATAGAAAATATTAAAATTAATAATAAAATGATAAAAAGTAAAATAGAGAACGTGAATAGTTGTTAATGAATAATAGATAATGACTTTAAGAGGGGTTGGATACTACATTTTGTTTTACTCTCTAAGTATAAAAATAATGTCACGGACTTAGACTTTCACTCACCTATATTGTAATTTAGTGCTTAAATTATTTAATAAAATCATGAAATATTAAAATAAAATGTAAAATAGAGATGTGTTGGAGATCAACAGAACTCTTCAAAATTTCCAAAAACAATTATGGTTGAGGTGAGTTGTTTTCCAATGTCAACAGCCATGTAGCGGTCCCCAAAAATATCCTTTCAAAGAGAGAATCTATTACTGTTTAAAATTAAATTTGTTTGTCTTATTTTTTAAAAAAATTTATTGAAAAAAATATTTTTTACTTTTGTGAAATAAGATAAATAAATTAAAATAAAAAAAGTATAAAGTAAAAAAGTTTTTTTTAATTTAAATAAATTACTCATTCTGTTTTTATTTATAAATGACTGATTTTTTCAGTCAATTTAAAAAAGAATGATATATTTCTGTATTAAGTAATAACTTAACTTCAAAGTGCATATTTTACTCTTAATGAAATGATTTATCGTCACACAAATATCTATCACTTACTCTCTCTGTATATTTCTACTTATCGTGATTCTAAAATAAATTTCATTTTTATTTTTATTTTTGACATATTAAAAAAACAATAACTTTATTCCATATTTTCCCTCAGAATTATATTCTTATTTTCCAAAATTATTTTTTCAAGATATCATTTAATAAGTAATAATTAAATAAAATACCTATATCATTAATTAGTTTCTTAATAGGTATATTCTCCGTCCAACCATAGTATTATTTTGAAATGTCCAACAATAGCTGACCACTTTAGGAAATCAATACATAATTTTGTACTTAATCCCTAAGTTACCCTTATCATTAGTTATAATTATTTCCCTATTACTTTTTTAAGACATTAAATTTATTATATTCAAATGATGATATAGTAAAATTACTCTTCTATTTATAGTTTTTTCAGCGGTGTGCCAAGTTGACAACTATTGCTGAACAAAGAAAATATCAAATCAAACGTGATACGTAAAAATGAACAAACTGAACATTTTACACCAATTTATCTTTTTAAAATAAATTCTTAAATTCTTTATTAAATCAAACTAAACGCTTACAAAATGAAAGGAAAATGTAAACTTAGAAAGGAAGGACCAAGCTAAGGTGGCAGGCATGATCCTGGCCATGTAATTTATGAGCTTTTTCTTATTAGTTATATAGAAATCGAATCGTTATGGATATAAATTGATAAAAATAGCTAATTGATTTGATGTATTTATAAATCAAAAAACAATAAACCAAATCGATAATACACTAAACCAACCAATCACACCCCTTTCTCGGACGTGTAAGCGAAAACCCTACATGGCTACACTTCTTTACTACTCATTAGCTATCAAAGGAGTAAATCCAAAGTCGGTTCTCAATCCAAAAAAAGTCAAAGCATACAAGATTGTTATAGAGAGATCTGACGGTTCTTCTAGAGAAAATTAAAAAAAAAAAGAAGAGGCTGAAGATCATACATAATCTTCAGTCTCCAAATAAGTAATTATGAACATGTTTGTTGGTCTAAGCTTCTAAGTAGAGCATATTTTACTTCATCTTCAGTCTCCAATCCTTGAGGAACTTTAACAACTATGTCATGTAGCATAAAATCATTGACACTTGAGATGTTGGCATGGTAGACATGTAGTTCAACTTCTTGAAGAGCACACATCAATCTTGTTGATGGATAATTCACATTCTCTGATTGAACCCTAATCATGGCATCTTGACCTACCATCTTCACTTCAATTTCCATTGTCTGGTTATTACAAGATAATGTGAGATACTTTGTAACATTTGAAATGGGATTGTGTCACTTTGGAAGTTTTAAAAAAAAAAGTTTGGAGGCTTTATTATTATTATTATTTTAGTAATCTCGCATGCATATCTTAGGCAACAATAACATATCAGTGTAATTTCATAAATAAGAATTCAGAAAAGATGTGGTGTGCAGAGTCTGGAGAGACGTTATCTCGCATGCATATCTTAGGCAACAATAACGTGTCAGTGTAATTTTATAAATAAGAATTCAGAAAAGGTGTGGTGTGCAAAGTCTGAAGAGACGTTATCTTATCATGTGAAGATAGATCTATAAGTTGTCAATAGATTTTCGGCTCAAAATAAAGTAGATATGAAAATAATATATTGAAGAAGTTGTGATAAAAATAATGAAGATATTAAAAAAAAAACATGTGCAAATCGTGACATGTAAATTTTGTTTTTAGTTTAAATTTATATTTAGATATTTTTGTTTTTATTAGAACTTAATAAATTTAAATGAACATATATAACATGTCTTTTCATGGAATAATTTTAGATATATGAAATCTATATGATGTAGTTTGATTGAACACGATTATTTAAGAAATAATTGACAAGTAGAAATGAACAGAGTAATTACGAGTGCCTTACATGATCCCTGGAAGTTGTTATGGAACTTTGGTTGTCCACAACATTTATATCATGATTTTCCATTTTGTGTTTGATCTTCATCTCTGGATAATAATAGTGATAATTGTTACTATGAAGTTTTGATTCTAATTCATCCACTTTAGCTTTCAGTTGGGTAATATATGTCACAGCATCTGATAGCAATGTGGCTTTGTCCATTTTTGTTACGTTTGGAACCACCTCGCGCAACGCGTAGAATCGAGAGTTAAGTTTTTCTCTTCTCTGCCTCTCCGCCTCTACGTGGTTTCCTTGTGTCTCGCAAATCTCTCTCCTCCTTTTCTTCGAAGTCTTGTTCTGTAACCAAAAATTCTACATTTCATCTTTTTCATAAATATTACGTATATCATTTGACTTTCAACATGTTAGATAACAAGTAGAAATTTAAAAAAATTGCTAAAAAGGGAAATAATTATTATTTTTTTAAAATTCCTCAATTTCTAATGCCCAAATGGCCACTAACTTGAGATTTTTATAAAAAAGCAAGAATGATGCATATACATTCAATTAAATGAAAGAATTATGACAGCTAGCTAGTGTATGAGTCTTACTTTTTAAAATTTTGTGTCCAGTCAAATTAAAATCTTCTTGATATTTTCGTGAATGTGTTCAATCACTTGAACCGATTCACTTGTCCAAGTAAATATTAGAATATCATTGTATAGGTATAAAATATATCGAACACAAAAGCAATGAATTCAGTTGAAGCAACTAACCTTTAGTCCAGCTTTGTTTTCATGTGGTGTTGTACCTACTACCACTTCACCTTTCTTTGCTTCTTCACCATATAGTTCCAAACAATTGAAAAGACCAAAATCATCAAATTGATCAATTGTTTCATAACCAAAGAACATAGACTTGACTTGTTGAACCAAGTTCAAATCCTGTTTAATCATCGTGCTCGAGCCCAGTTCGAGCACACCACTAGAAATTGGAATACATACAAAAGTATTGATACCATGAACATAATGAGCTTCTTTAGCCCTTTCACAATGACAAAACTCAAATTGTTGATCCCCTGCTAGCCACACTAAAGAGCCACTACTAAAGCATTTTCCAACAACTCCTTCACCAACACAAAAAGACTGAGCTAAAGACATCAAGTAGAACCATTCGACGTCTTTATTATTCGTTATCTTCATGTTTAGATGGCCATCACCCCATGTTAAACAAGAACGATTATTCGACGATTGCCAGAAAATAATATATGCCCAATCAGAACAATAATTTGTTTGATTCTTGACAATATATTGAAGCCTATGTTGAAGACTTGATTGTGATGATGAAGGGGAAAAAATTGGTTCATCCATTTTTTTGGTAATTTTGTTTAGGTATTATTGATGATAAAAAGAGAAGAATATTTGAAGCACGTATGAAGAGGAACAACATTAACTCAACTTATATATATGTGCCCTCATAGCCTCATACCTAACTTTCTAATTTATGTGACAATGTTTGTATTCGTAAGTTAAACAACAAATTTGTCATGACCTTGACCTGTCGTGAGTTGACACCCACACTAACCTTCGATGGAAGAACCAACTACCAACTCAAGATTAACCCCATCAACCATTTAAAAATCAAATCATAGTATAAAACGTTAATAAAACACTCGTAATTAAATGTTTGAGCTTCTATAAAAATGATTAGTCAATTAAAACAATTGCAGAACCTAAAACTTGAAAGTCATAATACCAAAACATCTAATAGTTTAGGATAAGCCCCCCAAAAAATAAATAAAGCACAAGTCTAGAATTTCCGAGTAGGAATAATGGACTAAGAAGGAAAAAGAGGAAATTTGTAGTAGTCCGAAGGAAGTAGTCACCTTGGATTCAGATGACGAAGGTGTTGGTGTGACATTTTAATATTAATAAAAGTATATTGTATATCACATTATATATCATGTTATTTCTATTGATGGACATTACATTTGTGCCTCTTTACTCTCATCAATTTCGGAAGAAAGTAGTCATTAGTTTTTGTAATTTATGTAACCACCAACTCTTCATTTCATCCATTATTCTATATTTGTGTCTTGTACCTTATGTAACATTTGAGCCATTCATTTAGCAAATTTACTACCCACTATCTTCCTATTCATTGCAAGGAAGAATTAATTAATTATAAATAGTATAGTCTTCATTTGTGTTAAAAAAAAAATAAGAAGAAGAAACAAGAGATGTACAAGAAAATATAGAGTGAAAAAGATGAGTAGTATTATATTGAGGTTAGTGTAGTGAAAGAGAGAGTCTTCAACTATATTCACTGTACAAAAGAGAGTATTATATGTTGAAGGAAGGTGTTCTTTTGTGGACCTTTGGACTCTTCAACTAATCCGGAGTTGTTTGAGTTATACATGTTGTTGACTGTTGTATCCTGGATGAGACAAGTCAAGAGTATTACTGGTGGATCGATGTAGATTATACCGCAGTAGACTTGAATCTCCTTAAAGAGTGCGAGATATCCGTGCCTCAGCCTAAAGATTTATTTATACATTTTTGTTCATTTTATTTCAACTGTGATTTATTATATTTGTAATATATTACAGCAATGGAAAGTCTCACCATTAAGGTCTCGAAACAGTCGTCAAAATATTGACGGTACTAAAAAAAAGCAAGTGCCATGTCATATTATTATTTTTTTTTCGAAATAAACTGCCATAAATATATTTTTCAATTTCAAGACTAAAGTTGCAGAAAGTAGGAGAATTTTTGCATAAAATTTTGATTAATTCCGCTGTAGCGATCCATCCTGCTGTAGCGACGTCGCCATAGCGGCCTATCCTCTATAAGGGACACCGTTATAACATCTTGAACGAAGACAAAAACTCGTAAATTCTCCCCCCAAGCCCTCATTTCGCAACACACCTTCTAATCTTGATGTTCTAAACTAACCCCTTCATGTCAAATCCAATATCAAGAGTTTTACTCACTTGAATTCAATTTTGAAAGGTCATATGGATTCCTTGATATCTTAGATGCTAGAAAACGTGATCCAAGCTTAGACGTAGTACCCCATCCACCCCCTAATTGCCCTAAACCTCGGCTCACTCAGATTTCTTCTGATACTTGTCTAACCTAAAATTTCTTAGTCATCACCCAAATCTTTTTTTGATCCGGTTCACTAAAAGAGTTTTAAGCACCCATCAAAGAGTCACTAAATCATTTATTCATTAAAATGTTAATTATATATAAATATCTCTTAATTAATATATATATATATATGGGACTGGTGGCAGAGGCAAACCCATTTAGGGTCCATATGGGTCCGCCCCTGCCACCAGTCCCAATAGCCAAAAGTCACTGAATACTTCCCATTTGCTGTGAATACAAATCTCTCCTATAAGTGTATCAATTTAATTGGTCATTACAAGTTTCAACTGACACTACAACGAATACAAATTATTATTTTTTGGTGAGAATTAAATAGTTTGTATTTAACCAATAAAATTTAAAAGCGCTTTTAAATGATAATTAATATTTTTCACTTTTTTAAAAAAGTATTTTAAGTGTATTTTCTCTAAAGTTTTTTTTTCTAAAAAATATATTTTTATTTTAAATTCTCAAAAATAAATTCTACCATTCCCAAAAAAGCTTATATTTTCCCTTAAAATTTGATTTAACATTTTATCTTTCTTTTTTCTAAATAAATATTTTTGGTCAACCAAAATTTGGCAAACAATCTATACATCTCTATCTTAGATATTTTAATTGTTGTTTTTTTTTTATAAAAAAAAAAGTATGCTTGTAAACAAAGTAATACGTGTTCAAACGTCTTATCAAGAAATTTTGTTATTTTAATATGTTTATTATAATGTCATTTTTGTATATCAACCCAAATAATTTGAGCCTAGAACTAGGTATCTAGGAGTATATATTATTTATGAATGTTACATCGTACAATATTATATACTGGAAAACGTTTTTAAAATTGATCATCTTTTTCAATGCCTTTTACTTAAGTTACATAATAGTATTAATATATGCCTAGTCTAGTTGCCTAGTTGCTTATTTTATCAATCAATAATAGAACTTCTGAAAAACGAGTTTTTGAATCACGAAAGTTTGTACGAATCAAAATTTTTATTAAAAAGGTAGAAGAATCAAAATTTTTATTAAAATACTGATATCTGAACTTGAATTCTCAAGTTGAATTTCGTATCTCAAATCACTGAGTCAACTTCTAATCTTATTGAAGATTTAATAAATGTATTTTTGTCACGACCCAAAACGAGCCGTGACTGGCACCCACACTTATCCTCCTATGTGAGTGAACCAACCAATCTAAACCCCAACATTTTCAACATAGTAAACAGAATAAAATGCGGAAGACTTAAAACTCAATAATAACTTCTAAAACTCAAAACTTATCATTATCCCCAAAATCTGAAAGTCATCATCACAAGAACATCTATCCTCAAATTACTAATTCTAAAAGTATCTAGAAAGCTAGAATAAATAAAAAGCTAGTCCATGCCGGAACTTCAAGGCATCAAGACATGAAGAAGAAGATCCAGTCCAAGCTAGAAGCGTTAGCTCACCCTGAAATCCGGTGTAATGAAGACTGGCTAGAGTTGCGGTTGAGTTGAAGACGACGGTACGTTTGCTGTACTCCACAAATAACAAAGAAAGAAACATACAAGTAGTACCAACACAAGTACTGAGTAGATATCATCGGCCAACTCAAAATAGAAAACAGTACATATCAGATAATATCATAAAATCAACTACAATACTCAACATGCAGCATTTACAATTACCATAACCCTTGGTCACAACACCAAGCACATCAAAGAGGACTCACGCCTCCCCATCATACTCATTTGGGAATTAGTTTCATTAAATTGAGTATATTAATATATTTCAAGATTCATTCTCTTTACTAATCCTGGTGCCGGAACGTGACACTCTGATCCTCATCATGCTATACTGGTGTCGAAACGTGACACCCGATCCATATTCTATCCTGGTGTCGGAACGTGACACTCTGATCCTCATACACTATCTTGGTACCGGAACGTGGCACCCAATCCATATACTATCCTGG